GGAGTATCTGCTGAACAGATCGCTTTCTTGGTTCCTGTGAAATTTCTCGAAGGTGTTCTCTTGGTTTCCCATGGGCCAGTGCTGGCTGGCAACCACATGAGCAGCTCTGGCTCTCAGACACTTGCTGTGTACCGGACGCATGCCTGTACATTCTGCAGCAACAGCTGTTAGAGTGGCTCCTGTGTTTTGACCCATTTCTTTGGTTCTGCTTTGGATGGATGATGCATCACACTCCCACCAAAGACAAACTCAGCCTCCTTCATCTGAGCTCTGCCCCACCCTGGGAGCCCAGCTGCAGTGTCCTCTATGGTGTTTGCACCTGCTGTGTGTCTCTGAGTGGTACTTCTGACACAGTTCCGGAGGCTTTTGTTGGGGACAGATCTAGCCTGTGGGACTGAATAGCAAATGGAGGTATGCAGGGAGTTCCTGGAGGAAAAGCCCCTGATCCTGGCTGGAGGATACGGTTTCACCCCATGGGAGGATTTTAGGAGTGGTCCCTTTACTCTGCTGCAGTGGATGGAGGTGGCAGCTCTGCTGGATCTTCCTGTTTCCACTCTGTGCATACTGGGAGGGGCAGGGGGCTACTCCATGCTGTGACACATGCCGATTTGCAAGGACATGTTACACAATACTCCACACCTGTCTAAAGGGGTCCCTGTGCTAACCCCAACTCTGCCAGGTACTTTCTGGGTGACTGTGCATAGTTCTTAACCTCTCTGAGTCTTAGTTCCCCTGTTTGTGAAATGAGAATAATAGTCTCTCTTTCCTGCTGTGGTTGCGAGAGTTAAATTAGGTAACAATACAGTGCTTGGAGAAAAGGCAGGCCTGGACATTTTTTCTATTCCTGTTTTTTTTTTTTTTTTTTTTTTTTTTAATTTTGTGTGTGTTACCAGTTCATACATGTGTGCTCATGCCTGTGCATGTGTGTGGAAATCAGGACTTGACATCGGGTAACTTCTTCAATCACTCTCTACTCTTTTTAAGATAGCATCATCTCCATTTTGTGCTAGATTGGCTGGCCAACAGGCCCAGGGATCCTTCTGTTCCTGTCTCCCTGGTGCTGGCACTACAGGTATGCACCATTATGCCTGGCTTTTTAGCATGGGTGTTTAGGGATTAAATCCAAATTCCCATGCCTGCATGGCAAGCCCTTTCATGACGGAGCCATCTCACAGCCCACCCACCTCTTCAAGGCCTTCCTCTTTCCTTCCACCCACCCAGGAGAGTATGCTGGGCTGTGCTCTAACAGCCTTAGCAAGAGTCTTCCAGGCTGAGACCAGGGAAGCAAGCTAGGGACTTCCGACAGTGTCCAGAAACACCCAAGGGCACTTTGGCGGTGGGCAGGGTTGCTAAAATCACACAGATTCTCACTGAAACCTTCGTACCTTCTGATTCCCCTGACTCACTTCTAAAACTCTGCTCTATAGAAACCATCAAACAACAGAAAAAGCCACTGAAATGGCCCAGATGGTAGGACTGGGGTTTCTAACTAAACCCTGTCTGCTTCTAAAGATAAAGCTTAAACACGGTGAAAAACATAGAAGGTATAAAACATAGACCCAGATAAATTTATATATAGAGAAGGATGTATTGATCTAAGACAGACATCAGATAAGATTAGCAGTAGATTAGACAATGTAGAAGAGGGGCTTAGTTGTTTATTCTGGGTATCTTAAGCAGTAAGGATGAGGATAAAGAAGATGATGCTGATGGGGGAGATAACCTTAACTAACATTTATTTACCTCTAGCTGTGGACCAAAGCCTGTTCATATGCCAGATTAGTTTATTTGTTGTGACTGTAATGAAAGACCTGAGGCTGGACCCTTTATAAAAAAAAAAAGAGGTGAGTGTAGCTCACATTTCAGAAGACTAAAAGTCTAAGAGTAGGTGGCTCTGCAGATTCTTTTATGGTGAAGGCCTTCTTGGCTGGGTCATGCCTCAGTTATTGGTACAGTGGAGAAGTGTGGAGGAGTACCTGTGAGAGGGAGAGATAACTCAGCAAGATAGGCAACCAGAGATGGGGAGAGGGTAATAATGGCCTCCTACTAGGATTCATGTCTTTTTGGTTTTGTTTTTGAAATAGGTCTTGCTATATAGCCATGCTAGCCTAGATCTTGTTATATAGACTAGACTGGCCTCAAACTGACATTAAGCCTCCCGCCTCTGCCTCCCTAGTATTGAGATTACAGGTGTGCACCACGATGCCATGCCCCCTCTTAAATGGCCCCTCATTTCTCAATGTCACCCTAAGGGGGCCAAGCATGAGCCGATGGCACGTGTGCAAATGCTTTCTAGACTATGACGTACATGGTCTCTATGGCTTGCAATGTTCCTATTCCATGGGTACCATCGTCAAGCTGTCTCACACAGGACTAATGGAAGGGGCAGAGAGAATCGACCTGCTCCAGTTTGATCTGCTGGGACAATGGGAAGGCCAGGCTCTTTAACCCAGGTAGCCTACCTTTTAATCAATCCTGTCTCCTGAGCCCTCTCCCACTCCATGTCCCACGCACTACTGCCCGTTCATGGCTTGTGAATCATCGGTCCCTGCTAAGTGTGGTGTGCTTTGACCAGCTCACCTCAGAATCTCCTAGGAATCACAACAGGGAGGAACCTTGGCCCTCTTTTGCAAATGAGGACACCAAGCCTCGTGTTGACAAAATCTTTTCCTAGGGACCCAGAGCTGGCAAAAGAAAGAGCCAGAACCTGAGCAAGGTCTCTCTGCCAGTGAGGCAGGAGTTTTGAATGTCTGTTTGTGGCCTTCTGGGACCAACAGAGAACTACTGTGCCTCCTGCCAAGACAGGTCAGATGGGGGAGGTGGCCAGAGGCCCTATCTAGAACCCCAATCTAGAAGGTTGCTTTCGGTTAAAGAGGCATGTGGGCAGGAATTCGGGCCTAGTATTGAGCAGGTGGAGGCCTGACATGAGCCAGCCAGTCACAGGAAACGCTGGAGGCCATGGGCATGTCTACAGCTTCCTCTGGGGGATGGTTTCACAGAGAAGCACTCAACCTCACACTCATCAAGTTTCTTATAATTTACTGAATAACAATCACCCCTCCACTAAGTGACTTATACAGATAAGAATATGCCAGATGCCTCTAGTTTGTCTGCTGATGAGTGGTTGTTTCCTTTTAAAAAAATTATTATTAGGTGAGGGCATTTTGTTTTACTTTGCTCTGCCTTCAAGAATATTTGTGGTGGCCCAACCGCTTTGAGCTCTCTATGCAGCCGAGGATGGTTTGGGACTTGCAGCCATCCTCCTGCCTCAGCCACCCAAATGCTGGGATGAACTGCATAAGCCACCATGCCCAGGTCATTACTTCCCATGTGCATGGCTTTCTCACAAATGAATATTAGTTCATTGATTGAGGCAAGAAACAAAGGGGAAGCCAGTAGAGTCTTCTGTAGTCCTAGCACTCCTGAGACCGAGGCAGAGGGGCTGTAACTTTGAAACCAGACTGGGCCACAGAGTGAGACTCTGCCTATAACAAAAGAAGGAGAAAAGAAGGAGGGAGGGAGGGTGGGAACCTGCTGTCAGAATTTTGGAATGACCTAATTAGCCAGGAGCTAGGAGATCAGTTTAGGCATTATATCCCCAGCAGTCAACTACAAGCATGGAAGAGCCCATCTCTGATGTTGATGGACAAGGTCCCTGGATGTGTACTTCAAGCAACAACTCTGCCCTCATTGGCTAGGTCCCAGCCAGTTGTCACATAGGGATTCTCTCCAGTAAATTGGGGCAAATTATTGGCAGGCTCACTTGTCAGCACTGATCAAGTGCCCTGTAATCATCGGTGTTCTTTGAGTCAAGCCCACATGAAGTAATAGTTGGGCATCAACTTGGATATTGGAACATTTCTTTTGTTGAACTTGAATGGTAAAAAACAAAAGTGGTCAGCAAGCTGTGTGTCTGTAAGAGGCTCACTGTACAGTCAGCACAGTGGTAAAGTAGGCAAAGTGGTCAATTGTGCAGATGCTTCCCCAAACCACTGCCAAAGAACACTCAACAACATAGAAACGTGTTCACGTAATTGAAAGAAAAGGCTGAGGCTGGACTGGGGGCTCAGCTGACCTCGGATGCATGAGGCCCTGGGTACCAAGCTTGGCACCACACAAACTTGACATGATGCCACACAGCTGTAATTCTAGAACTTGGGAGATGGAGGAGGACTGGAAATTCAAGAGGCCATCTTTGACTAAATGAAGACTTAGAGGCTGGCCTGGCTTACTTAAGGAGGTCTTGTCTGGGGTGAGGTAGGGGACCAACTATAAAGTACCACATATAACATTTCCTAGTTTGGTAAAATGGAACTATGGAAGCAATAGAAAGTATATACATAAGCATGTAGTAGTCAGATAGTAGGTAAGTAGATAGATAGATGAGAGATGATAGGTTAGAAAGATGGTAAATGTTAGATTGATTAGCAGTACGTAGACAGATAACAGATTACATAGATGGCAGATGATAGATTGTTGACATTTATGATATGATATTAGATGTATAATAGATTATTGATGATAGATGATTGATAGAGACACATACATGGATACATAAATACATAGATTCATAGATAAATAAAAAAAAAACAGTACCACAAACACATAATCCAAAATGCTAATCATGTTTCCTGTTTTCACAGATGAGTCGACATTTCAGGTTGTGTGTTTTTCAAATCTTGGGCTGTGGGGCTGGGGTGTGGCTCAATGATAGAGTGCTTGCCTAGCTTGTTGGTGACCTTGGGTTCCATCCTCTTGGCCTTGAAGGTGCTTGCCAAATCTTCCATTCTAGACATGTGTCTCCTTTTTATCAAAAATCTGGTGGGGACCCCAATATATCAAAAAAGAGAACAAAATGTAACCCCAGAGTCATAGAAAAGAGGAAGTGGGAGGCACGTGGGTCGATTCCCCAGGAACTGGGAAGGGTTGGGAAGCATGGGTGGGGGGAACCTGATATAAGGGACCGCCTATGTAGCAGGGGATTTCTAATAGCTGCTTGCCTCCCTTTGTGCAGGAACCATGAGATTTGCTCTGCTGTGTGGACTGCTACTGCTGGCTGGTGAGTGGGGACAGGTGTGAGGCTGGGGAGGAAGCAGGATTGAAGGTAGATCCACCCTAGTGTTCCACCCTAGACTAGGATGCTCTGATCCCGGGGACACTAGAAATCCAGTCCCCAACACTTCTACTACCAGCAAGGAGTCATCCAAGGCTGCCAGGTACCTAGGACTGTGCCTTCTGGCTTCAGCCAGAGAACTGGGGAAGACAGAACTGTGTAGCATTCTGGGAAGAGGACCCCTCATTCATTGGCAGGGAGGGAATCCAGGGACAGTTTCTACTCACTCTTTAGAAGATCAGATGTAGAAACATGGCTGCTTGCACACTGGCTTTCAATTTCTTAATCCATCTCAGAGTACATGATCTTATAAAGGTCTTTCCCTTTTTAAAAGCGATTCCGTGGCTGGGCAGTGTGGTGCATGCCTTTAATCACAGACTGGGGAGGCAGAGGCAGGCACATCTCTGACTTCAAGGCCGGTCTGGTCCACAGAGAGTGTTCCAGGACAGCCAGGGTGACAAAGAGAAACCCTGTCTCCAAAAAAGTGATTTTCTGTTGTTTTGAGACTCCCACACCCTTGAGAGGGACACTTGCCCAGAGTTTCAGTGACGTCCGTTAACAAGCATGCAATGGAGCTACCGAAATTCATCCTTCAACATAGAGACAATGTAATGCAGAGGCATGCTTCACCCATCACCTCCTGGCAGCATGTGCTAGACCAAGCCACCTGACCTCTTCATATCCTCATCTGCTCAGTGGACCAGGGCATCTTCCCTCTGTTGGTGAAGAGACCCCTAGTGAGAAAATAGCAACCAAGCATTACATAAGAGCTTAGCATCCCTCCCTCCCTCACCCCCACCCCCACACAAAGTGACTCTTCTGACCAGGAATTCCTCATCCCTGAGGGTGGAGGGATGCAAGGGAAGCAGGGTTGAATTGTTGAGACAGAAATCTCCGACAAACTTTGGTGGACATCACTTGGACGTATTTCCACAGGCTTGATTTGCCTCACTACCAAATGATGAGGAGGGGAACGACCCCACAAAACATAGAGAATTTCAGCTGAATGCATTGCTTAGCTGCCTGGCGAGGGAGAGCTGCCCCCTTCAGGATGGAGCTGAGTTGAAATCAAGAGGGGCTAGCTCTGGAGCAAAGAAATAGAGGGCAAGCCTGGTGGGGTGGCTTACAACTGGAATCCCAGCACTTGGGAGGCTGAGACAGGAGGATAGCCATGAGTTCAAAGCCAGCTTGGGTTACAGAGGGAAAAAAAAATGTTGGGGGTGGAGGTGAGGGGATGTGGAGAGACAGAGAAGCCAAGAAAGGCAAGAAAGATTTCGAATTCAGATCTTCAATTGGTGCCCAAGGAGGGTTCTGCCTTTGCAGTTAATTGCTTTGGGTTCTTCATCATGGAATCTGGGATGTTCTCTAATTCCAGATGGCAATCCTAGATGATTCCTAGGGGTCTGGGCTTGTGTATCTGCACAGCCACAGATTAGCTAGGCCTCCCTTTAACATCCCTTAGCCAGGAGCACTGTTTCAGAGAGGAGTGTACACACAGGCTACACACAGAGAGGACAACACCACCCACACAACAGTCACTTCTAATTACAGCCCAGGGCCCCCTGCTTATGATTGCCTCTGTGTCTACTGCATGAATGCCTTCCAATGCCCCGGTCCTCCAGCATGGGTGGCAGCTCTCCTTAATATTCACTATGTGCCTGAAGGCGCTCACTGCGGTGCCAGGCCAGGAACAGACTGCTTGCTCCAACCTCCTCTAACCCTCATGGCTGCACCTACCCTGCATTCTCCAAATACACTATTGTCCTCATCTGTTTCTCCCAACTTGACCCTGAATTCATCGATTCCATATATTTTATTTCTCCTAATTTAACATAATGTGTTCCCCTCTCCCAATAAAGCAGATTTCCCTTAAGATCAATTCTAGCCAGAAGCTACGAGGCCTGAAACAAGCAGCATTGACTTCTAAATCACACACCACCTCCCCACCCCACTCCAGAGACCTCCTGGGCCATTGTAAAGTGAAGATTTTTCTAGAGAGGAAGGGATGTGTGTGGGAGGGAGAGTGAGTTAGGCCCCCTCTTCTCATTTTGAGTGGGAAATCGATGCCCAGAGACAGAGAAGCCAGACAGCATTGGTTTTGATCCTGGCTGGATTTTCTTTCTTCTGTGACCTTGAGTAAGTCAGGGAGCCTCCAGCTGCTCATCTGTTAAATAAGGGTTACAAATGGAAGTCCTGGGCTTGGAGGACAGCCCAGTTGGTAAAAGTCTTGCCTTGAAAACACGAGAACCTGAGTTTGACCCTTAGAACCCGAGTGGGAAATGCCAGATGTTGGCGGCATGTGCTTGTAAGCCCAGTCCTGGACAGGCAGAGATTTCTGGGTTCAGTGGCTTGCCTAATTGGTGAGCTTCAGATTAATGATAGACCTAGTCTCAAAGACAAGTAGACAACTTTCCCAAAGGTAATATATTAGGCTATCCTTTGTTCTTTTTACGCACATATGCATGTGTCCAGACATGCACAAACACACACAGGCACACACACACACAGGCACACACACACACAGGCACACACACACACACACACACACACAGGAATTCTGGCCAGGTGCACCTTTAATCCCAGCAAGGGAGGCAGAGGCAGGCAGATGTCTGTGAGTTTGAGGTCAGCCTGGTCTACATAATGAGTTCCAGGTCAGTCAGAGCTACATAGTGAGACTCTGTCTCAACAACAGAAAATGGAATTCCCAGCTGGGCCTGGTGGCACAGATTATAGTTCAAGCACTTGGGGGAGGAGGTAGAGGCAAGAAGGTCAGGAACTCAGGGTCAGCCTCAGCTACTTAGCAAGTTCCAGACCACTCTGTGCTATCTGAGACCCTGTCTCGACCCTCTTTGCCAAAATAAAGTATTCCCAGGACACCCCCACCATATGCCACTTTGATTTTCACAACAGCTCCTCAGTCATGTAAGATGAAACATTAGAATAAATCAAGTGAGGAAGGAATGAGAGCCCTCTGGACCATCGCTGCCATTTTTCTGTACATCTAAAGCTGTTCCAAACTAAGTGTTCCCTTGCTTTTAAAAGGGATGGAGGGGCTAGAAAGATGGCTAAGAGGTTCCTAGCACCTGCTACTCATGCAGAGGACCCACGATTAATTCACAGCACTCACATCAAGCTTCTCTCAAGCACCTGTAACTACAGACCCAGGTGATTCTATGTTCTCCTCCAGCCTCTGAAGGCGCCTGTGCCATACACACACACACACACACACACACACACACACACACACACACACACACACCCGTAGGACCCGGTACCCTCGTGACCCTCACTCCTGTCCTCCTTGTTTGGATATTTAGCAGGTATGACCCCAACCCAGGGAGGGCTCCTGAACCTGAACAAGATGATCAAACGTATGACTGGGAAGAAACCCTACTTCAACTACTGGCCCTATGGCTGTCATTGTGGATTTGGTGGCATAGGAGAACCCAAAGATGCTACAGACAGGTAAACTCCCTCTCTATCCCTACTTCAAACTCTTTCCTTCCTTTTATGTCCACGGATTCATTTAGAAAACACATTTTATTGAGCATGTACTACATGCTAAGAACTTTGCTGAATGCTAATATAGTCCCATTCCTCTTAGAACTGGCCTTTCAGAAGATTCTCCAGAGTTCCTTGAAGTCCTGACATCTTCTTAACCTGGGTCTAATATCCCTCACTCCTTGTTACCATTATACATGGTATTCTGAAGCCCAGCCTCCTTGCCTTTTCTCAGTTGATTTTTCACAACCATTTTGAGAGTCAGCCAGAGAAGTCACATGACTTTTGCCAAGCATTTCAAGCTCCAGGATTATGTTTCTTCATCTGTGAAATGGGGGTGATACCAGCACCTCCACCATGGGGTAGTCACAGGGGTTAGTAGAATATGTGGCTGGAACGGGTGTCTGGTGTATGACAGGCCTTCACCAATAGCAGCTCTCATGACCTCCTGGGAACCCAAATGTTACTCATTCCTGGTGACATGTGGGGGGGGGGGGCAGGCAGTGACCAGAGCTGACTAGTGACACCTACAGTTGTGTGCCCTGCCTGCCTGTCCACACAGGTGCTGTCACAAGCGTGATTGCTGCTATGCCCGCCTGAAGACCGATGGATGCAGGACCATGACAGACAACTACAAGTTTAACATCTCCCACGGTGTTATCTACTGCTGTGAGTGTCTGGCGGGGGGGGGGGGGGGCAAGGGCTGGAGCTGGGGATTCCTAGCCCTCCTTGCCTCCATAGGCCCAGTAGTATTACATAAAACACTCAACACCTGAGCTGTTTCTCTCTTGTGGGCAGTAGCGGACAGGCAGGAACAGGGGAGGGGCATGGAGAGGGCCAAGGGGACATCCCACCCTTTTGGTATCCAGAAGGCAGGCTCATCACTGACCAGCTATGTGCTCAGCACTGTTTAACATCTCTGAAATTCAGTGTCCTCCTTGGTAATCTGCTGATCGAAGCCAACAGGAGGAAAGTCAGGGGGATGCTAGCCACTCCCATTCTCATGGGGGAGCACAGAGGTATCCCTATGGTGGCCTTTCCTTTTTACCCCATAACAGCTCACCTTAAGGTTAATGGAACTGTAAAAGCTAACACAGATGATCACCCTATGGGGACACTCCCTTGCTACCCCAGCTGTCAGTGGGAGTGGTGATGTGAGCTAGGATGGCTCCTTGATACTGCCTTACCCTGCCGCAGGCCTGCATCTCTCATGCATCGGCTTGGGACTGTTTGTTCATTCTGTGACCCTCTACCACCTGCCTTCCCACCTGTCCATTTGGTTCAGCCTTTGCCCCCCCCCCCCAGGATCAGTCTCCCAATAGCTGCTCAATGACTCTCTAGTGAATGGGTGTGAAAATAGGTAAAGGAGCAAGAACACAGGCGGTAGAAGTCATCGCACCATGCAATCAGAGCAGCTGCTTGGAGGGGGTGGGGGGCTATCACCAAAGATGAGCAAGGACCCTGTGTTGATTTCAGGACCCCCCACCCCACCCCACCCCACAGGCAGTCTCAGGAAGGGACAGATACTGAGCCATCCCTGTTTCTTTCGCCCACAGCTGACAAAGGGAACTGGTGTGAGAGGGAGTTGTGTGCTTGTGACAAGGAGATGGCCTTGTGCCTGAAGCAAAACCTGAACAGCTACGACAAGAGCCTGTTTTACTACCGGCGGGCCTACTGCAAGGGCAGTACTCCGGCGTGCTAGGAGAGCCGGCTGTCTGTCCCCTGCATTTCACCCTGCTCCAGGGCATCTCAAGATCTGAAGTCCTGCAGGATTGCTGCCTCCCGCCCCAGTGTCTAGTCTCCCATACCAGCTGGCTTTTAAAGCCCTCCTTGCAAAGGGTCCTGCCTTGAGGATTTCCTCTTGGTGCCTCTCTGCTATAAAGAACCTTTTTGATCTTGCTGTCTATGACTCTTCTCCTTTCAAACGATGGTCTTTCTGGGCTTAGGATAAAACCTCACCTGTGTGTTCAGAGTCCAGCCCTCTGGCCCCGTGTCCTTTCCCCCAGCCAGGCTGTGAGGTCCTCCAGCTCCGTCTTGGATTCAGCTGGCGCCCTGGTGCCCAGGTAGCCTCCTAAAGCCAAGCCCAGCAGGGTCTCCATCACCCAAGCCTTGAGGACTTGTTTCTCCAGGTGCTGGAGCCTGACCTGCTGTTTCCTGTCTATTTGTGCTTTCTCTGGGGTCTCCTGCTGCAATGTAGGCTCAGGAGTTCCTCTTCTGGAAGGCCTTCTGGGCTGGCCCTACTCCCTAGTTCTGAGGGCTTCTCTGGACTGAACTGTCTGGATGACATAACATCCCACATGTCTCCTGAGAACAGAGGTGAGATGTCCCAGAAGGTCATTTTCTTTCCCTGGTTCCCTGAAAAGTTTTCCCTGGAAAGCTTCCCCAAAGAGCCCTCTCAATAAACCCCTGGCACGAGAAGCCCTGACTCATGTTCCGCCTCTAGGGAGACGCATGGCAGACAAGTAACAGGAGATCCCACTGTCTTTGTGTTCTTCCTGGCTCCCAGAACCACGGACCAGATTACAAAACCCAGAGCTGCTGTTGTAGCCAAGGAATGTGTGTGTGTTCATTAGTGGCAGAATGAGGAGAAGGCATCCAGGGAAGATCAGCCTCCCATCTGAACAAGGATGAGAGTCCTTTTAACAGGGAGAGGGTGACTGTGTTGGAGGGATGGTTCCCCCTGGTAGGTAGCCTTTTTGATTCAAACCCATTCAGCCTACTATCCACTGGGACTGCAGAGGCCTTCGTGGTTGGCAGAGCTGGTGTAGTGTTGGAAACAACTTGGCAAAAGGGATCATCTGGCAGGATCTAATCTGGCATTCTCCTGGTAACAACTCTTTCAGAGAACATCTGTCATCCTTGCGTGATTAGCTGTGTTTCTAGCCACGGGGCCAAGGCACCTAGAACCACCCACACCCTCCAGCCTGTGACACCCTGCAAGGAGTCACAGAGCAGTTTTCTCAAAACCATAGCGAGGCTGAGCACAAAGACTTCCCAGCTGTGGGCTCTGGGTTCAAGTCCCCACAGTCAAAATGCCCACTCTAGTGGGGGACCCTGAGGGTAGGAAGTTGTGTGTGCTGGGGAAAATGCACTAAAAATTGCCAGTTTATTTATTTTTAAAATCTAGTAAAAAAAGAATTCCAGGCTTGGCAGGATGGTATTGAGGATGGCAAGTTCAGAGCCAGTGACTAATCATGTTACCTAGGGATTCCCCAGCTCCTTGTGCATAAGGTAGAGAGGAAAACCGGAAGGAAGTAGGGTCAGTGTGAGCTCAGTAATGTTAGTTTCCACACAACTCTGAGCAAGGTGCCTGCGGGTATGCAGAAAACCCCTAGTTCTGTCCACAGCACTACACAAGAGAGGTGGTACCTGGCTGTAACCACCCCCCACCCCCCAGCACTCAGTGGGCAGAGGCAGAAAGGTCAGAAGTTCGAGGTCATCTTTAGCTACATCAAGCCAGCCTGGGCTACATGAGAGCTTATCTCAGAAAATAGAGAGAGGGAATGGGGGAGAGAGGCTGGAAATGGGGGGGAGTGTAGTTGGGGGGGGTGAGAGGAACTTGGCTCCCAGCTTGGCTTTTGGGTGACTTGATCATGTCTTCAGAGCCTGGTTTCTTCCCTGCCCGTGGCTGGGCCATCCTCATCCACTCTTCCAGTTTTCCTCCCGGGCAGGCTCCCCACAGTCTCAATTACAGTCATGGTCCTCCAGATCTCAAGACAGAACAATGATGTCTCTTCCACCTTACAGCCAGCTTTCCCTAGGGACTGGCCACCTGGAGCTTGAGCTGGCTTAAGAGAGTAGGGTACCCTGGTTGGTTGGACTACAATGAATTTAGTTGTCCCTGAGAAGATGCGCAGATCCCGCTGGTAACCTGCACTCAGTGGTCTGCAGGCATCAGCTTTGCGTCTGGCTGTGCCTGCTGCGGAGTACTCCACATTGTTACAAAGTAGCAGCAGCTCCCTCTATGTTGCACTCATGCTGAGGCAGGATGGCAGAATCTCCCTGTGCACACAGACACTGCCACCTGTTCAGCAAGACCCACAAAGCACAGAATGGCAAGTGCCTTATTCATGCCTATGACTTTGCCAAGGTAAAATCAGAAAGCAGGGGGCACATTGGCATATGAACATTAGTGGGTCTGGGGAGGGATCTCACACAGTAGAGTGCTTGAGGAGCATGTATGAAGCCCTGAGTTCAACCCTCACCAACAAATAAAATGGGGTGTGGTGGTGCACACCTGTAATCCTAGCACTCTAGAAGATTACAAATTCAAGGGCACCGAGCAATGGTGGCACATGTCTTTAATTGCAGCCCTCGGGAGGCAGAGACAAGGGGATCTCTGAGTCTGAGGCCAGCCTGGTCTACACAGAGAGTTCCAGGACAGCCAGGGCTACACAGAGAAGCACTGTCTGGGGATTGAGTGGTAGTTTATTTAAAGTCATCCTCCACTACTTATTGAGTTAAAGCTAACTTGGGCAAGAGACTCAATGGAAAACAAACAAAACAGAAAAATCAGGTTGATGAGCTTATAGAGCACATCAGACTTGGACGGAACTGCAACACCCTCCCCTGGACCCCACAGACCGAGGGCTGCCTGACAGTGCAGACCTTCTCTGGCCAAGCTGATGGGTGACTCAAGAGAACCTGAATTGCTACCAGGTCCTTGCCTTGCCTCTGCCTCAAAGCCTTGGCCCAGCAATGTGGCTCAGCTGGCCTCCAGCACCCTGCCTGGCAGCTTCTGAATATCCTCAATGGCCACCTGCGGCTGCATTCACACCTGCTCTCTCCTGTATCCCCAGTAGAGTCTTGGAGCTCCATAGCTTCTTTCACTCCTTTCACAGCCCCTCGGAGCCCTGTTTGAAGTGTGGAGTGTGACTGAGAGTTCAGAATAAAGGGACCTGTGATGGCCAATGGCCAAGCTACCAGGGGAAATTAGCATTACTTGGTACATTACAGCCAACGAAGCCCAATGCTGATGTTGCTTGTGGGACCGTGGCTTGTAAATCTGTTGTGGAAGGACACACACGTGTCTGTGGTTGTGACTCTGTGACTCACTGAGTGGCTGATAGGATCAGGGTAGTGGGGGAGGGGGACGGCTGCTGCCAGAGTGACAAGCCAGGGCCTGAGATGGGGAAGACAAGGCACGAGGCAGAGCTGTGCTTCCCTTGTGGTTATGTGTCTCATTGCGCAGGACTCGGGACCAGGATAGGCAGATGGCGCCTCAGGAAGCCACGTCTGTGGACCTCAAGGCAAGAAGTCCGAGACTTCATCTTCTGAACAAATTTTCTATTACTAAAACTGGGCAAGAAGCAGAAAAGAGGGAGACACTCCCAGGGTGTGTTTGCTGTCCACTCCCCCCCCCCACCAGGTGAATCAGTGACGGGGCCAGGAGGAAGTATCTCTTAGGATTCCAGATCCCTCCAGTCCAGGTCTACCAAGGAACAGGCTGTGGGTAAGAGGTGGGCAGCTCTGAAGACCTGTCAAACACCCGGGAGCCCACTCCTTCCCCACGGCCTCAGACTTAGTTGTTGTTCCCTGAACTACAGAAACTTGATAAGCACCAGGGCTGGAATTCGAACCCAGAGCTCCCTGGCAGTAGGGCCCTGTCCCACCCTTATTCCTACACTCTTAACTGGGACAGCTTCTGATTCAGCCCAGATATCCCTCCAGGGGATTAGTCATGCCACGGACCATGCAGCAAGTGTGGGGTGGAGTAACACAAGGCGCCAGGGAAATTGGTTACAATCACACAAAAGCAATAATGGTGTTCAAGCCAAGACTGGTAGCAACAGCCCTGTAATCCAGGTTACTAAAATGACTAGGAGAAGAAGATCCCAAATTCAAGGTCAGTTGGGGTATAGAGTGAGTTCAAAGCCAGGCTAAGACACTTAGTGAGACCCTGTCTCAAAATTAAAAGTTCGGGGGTTGGAAAGACAGCTCAGCAGCTAAGAGTCCTTGTTGCACAGTCATGAGGACCCGAGTGAGGGTCCCAAAAGCCATAAGGAGCAAATGACCTATGCATGCCTAGAATCCCAACTCCAGGAGGGAGATGGGAGGATTCCTGGAGTTCTCCAGCATAGCAAAGAAAACTGGAACTCCCGGGTTCAGGGAGAGACCCTGCTTCAAAGGAATAGGTTGATGGAGGGTACCTGGTGCTCTTTTCTGGCCTCTGCTTACACTCCCAGACATATAGGCTCATGCATGCATGTGCGCACACCACACACACACACACACACACACACACACACACACACACACTGCGGTGTGGTCAGTTAGGGGAGATATTCTGGGCTAGAGCTCAGTGATAGAATGTTTGACAAACAAGAGCAAGGCCCTGGGCTTATCCCCAGTGCTGTCAAACACAAGAGGGGGGCTTTCAATGGAACCCTGCTTTATCTCACACTCAGTCCTTTCCCAGCCCTTGGCTAATGCAGTTCTCTGGCCTTGTGGATTCAGGGTTCTACCTCCATGAACCAGATCAAGGATAGGTGACTGGCAATGACTTTGACCTGTCCCTGCCTGTTTTTCCAGCTGGATCCTGCCCCAAATACCTGTGTCCCTTCCATCTATCTTCCCCTCCTTGTGACATGTTTATGCATGGCTGGGCTCCTGCTATCTCACACCCTGCCACAGTGTCCTCTTGAGGGAGACTGGAGTGTAGGGACATTTCTCACTTGGAATCTCTGCCATCCTCTATCATTCCTGGGAGCTGGCAAATACCCTTGTCCCCCAGACAGCCAGGGTCCACCTTGCTCTCTCTAGAATCCTATGGGTTGTTTTCTGTTATGAGCACTTTCCCACCAGCATGGTCCCACAGCCACGTCAGTCCCAAAATAACACACAGCCTCTATTAGTTATAAAGCTGTTGGCCAATGGCTAGAGATTCTTATTGGATAGCTC